GCCGCCACCCCACAATTGGGCGGTGACACCTCCGGCCATGCCAGGCGGCAGGGTGGGATCACGTATCCAAGAGTTTTAGAAACATTAACATACGGGCGATGTGATAAAGGTCCGAAGACCTTTGTTAAACTTTAACACATCCATATATATATATATAAGAAAAGCAAACATTGTATTCAGGGATATAGAGATATCTCAGCACTGACCGAAAAAAAAAAAAAAATCCAAAGGATGTATGAGAAACAAACGAGCAAAGTCCTTTTATCCCGGTTCATCCTGGTGCTTGTCTGACTCTCCTCCGTTCTCTTCTTGGAGATGGAGTATGCTAATTATTTATTTTAATAAAGCTTTTTTTGTACAAGTTTGTACATTTTTTTTTCATCTAAAGTTATAAGTGCTAACAAGCCCCCTTTTGATAGCTTTGGGCAGATGACAGGTACTCATTAGGAAGACATCAAAGGTTTATTTATTTATGCCCTCCAAAGCAGCTAACCAAGCACAAATTGTGAATGACAGCTCTGAAAGCGGAAGTGACTAAATCATCATCACTGGGTTCATTCATCACAGAGGAGATGGGGGAATGGATGTTCCTCCATCTCCTCTGTGTGCAGCCATCCTGACAGCTAAAAGTGGTCCGGGGCTCTATGGGACTCCTGCAGGTGGTGATGGTGGGGGGGAGGTTCGCCCTTCACAGTGCTGTAAAAGTGATCAGGCAGCTGTAAACCCACCAAATCACAAAATAGCAGATCGCCGGCTGAAAAAAATGAATTCATGGTTATGTAATAGACACTAGCCTATAGGACGTTTATATACCTAAATCAGCCAGCAAGTGGTTAAGTTACTTATGAACAGAAGTTCTGTTGGACAATTCAGGTTTTCTAGGACAATACGTATTAAACATGATACCAGTTTTGTCAATACTTTCACATGTCAGAGTAACCAAATGACTCAAGACACTAGCACAGAAAATTCCCAACTGATCTGTAAGGGAATGCATAGATTGGACAAAGCCACATGGGTGATCTCAAAATGCTGTACTTTATAAAAGTGGAACTCCAGCCAAACATTCCTCTAAATTTTTGGGTAGAGTGAGAGAAACAATTGAATACTGTCCGTGATACTTTTTTTTTATTTGTACTACTTCACAAAGTTTTAGCAGTATATTAAAAAAAATAATCTCTGAGGGAAAAAAAAAAAAACCACACACAAACAAATGTACACATCAATGAAATAAAACTGGAATAGACTAGAGATAAGACAGAGCTAAGGCAAAGACTGGGAGGGTTGTGATGACAGTCACAGAGGGGGCCGTAAAACTGTTGGATAATGAGTGAGGAATCCCATGTCCAAATTAAGGCCGATATCTTTTGTATCAAATAAAAATATCATTCTTAGTTCAAAAGTTTTCCTTTCCTAGATAGTTTTAAAATTCCCTTTAAGAACCAAGATTTTTAGTGTGGTTGTGCGAAATGGTGTCCTACAGGTGTGCAGAGGTCATCTTCTTTATGTTCCTTGATGGTATGTCTGTGCAAATTCATCCTTGTTCGCAACTTCTGTCCTGTTTTGCCAACATAAGATCCTTTGCTACATTTTCTGCACTGGATAAGGTACACAACATTACTGGAGGTGCAGCTGTATGATCCAGTGATATTGAAGATCCCTTTTGAGTGTGTGACACTTTTTGATGGATTCATTTGGTTGCACAGTTTGCAGCGTTTTTATGGCAGGGTTTGTTTTCATTATTTGTGACATCATAATCAGAAGGAAGTTTGCTACTGATTAATTTTGGCTGAGGATGTGGGTTTGTCTGAAAGCCAGTATTGGGGGTTGCTGGAATATTTCTTTCAGAGTTCCATCCTCTTTTATGATGGGTTGTAGATCTTTGATTATTTTTCTTATTCCTTCTAGTGCTGGGTTTTATGTGGTTACTAGAGGTACACAGTTGTTTGTTTTCTTTTTGTATTGGAGTACATTTTCTCTTCGGGTTTTCAAGGCTGTGTTTATGCTAGTGTTGATAATTTTGCTTGTTAAAGTTCTGTGTCGGATCATAATCCAGTTTTTTATAGGAAGTAGAATTTTCCAGCTGCCTCTGGCTCTCTTGTATGTATTTGTTTGTACCCATCACAACAACTGCTCCCCCTTTATCTGCTGGTTTGATGGTGATGGCCTGATTGTTGTGCAAATTGTGTTTAGCCCTTCGCTCCAGTGGTGAAAGATTGTACAGAATTTTCTTTTGCTGGGTAGATGTAAGGGATGTAACTCACAGTTTGAAGTTATCAATATAGGTGTCCAGTTTGGGGTTGTGTTTTTGTGGAAGTGCGAAACAGCTGTTCTTTTTTTTTTTTTTTGTGTCGCATTCCATTGTTCTAGGATTCCTTTCATTACTGTGGAAATATTCTTTGAGCATTAGTTTCATGAAGAATTCCTTCATACTTGACAATAATTGCAAATGATCCAATTTGGTGGTTGGGAAGAATGTGAGGCTTTTGGAGAGGATGGTTAATTCTGGTTCAGAAAGTTTATGATTTGACAAATTGATGATTCCAAGTTCCTCTGTTATATTCACATTTTCAGTCAGGTTAGCACTTACACAAGGAATACCTTGGGATTCTGGATTGGATTCCAGGTCACTGATAATAGGAGGTATAGATGTTGGGTTGCCTTTATGTTTAGGTTGTATCCAAAAGGTCTGCTCTTGGTGTAGCTTGTGAAGTTTTTCTTGCTTCCCAGAGTGAGGACGAATTCTGTATTTGGTTTTTATTGTTGTCCCTTTTGGGGATATTTGTTTTTACTGCCTGTTCTGATAACCGTGATCACTACAGCAGGAAGTTACATATTTACATAGTTAATCTGGCTGAAAAAAAGACAAAAGTCCATCCAGTTCAACCATAGAAAAAAAAAAAAAAGTTATAATCCTATACCCACAGTTGATGCAGAGTAAGGCAAAAAAAAAACCCAGCAAAGCACGATCCAATTTGCTCCTGCTAGGAAAAAAATTCCTTCCTGATCCCCCGAGAGGCAATCTGATATTCCCCGGATCAACTTTACCTATAAATGTTAGTATCCAGTTATATTCTGTGTATCTATCTAAGAAAGAATCCAGGCCTTTTTTGAAGCAATCCACTGAGCTTAAGAAAAATCCATGGTCAAAATTGTATAACTTACTAATAGTGTACTTTAAAGTGTACCAATTAATAAATAATTTGAGTAAATATATAAATATATGCAAATCCAAATCATAAGTCCAGAAAAATTATATATACCAATACCACAGCCTTTTTAGGTTTTTAACACTTTTTTTTTTTAATTGAGACACTCCTTTTGCACAAAAGGGTTTTTTATATTTTTTCTGTGGTATTGGTATTATATATTTTTCTGGACTTATGATTTGATGATTTCTTTACATTTTTACATATTTACTAGCGCAAATCCACTGTTGCCAGAACCAACTCTTGAGGGAACCACATTTTCCGTCTCACTGTGAAGAAACCTTTCCGTGTTTTGTGACTAACTTTCTTTTCCTCCAGCCGTAAAGATTGCCCCCTTGTCCTCTGTGAGGACCTCAGGGTGAATAGCTCTACACAGAGTTCACTATACGAACCACTGATGTATTTATACATGTTGATCATATCCCCCTTAATCTCCTCTTCTCAAGAGATAATAAATTCAGTTCCTCTAATCTTTCCTCATAGCTGATCTCCTCCATGCCTTTTATCAGTTTGGTTGCCCTTTTCTGTACTTTCTCCAGTTCCCTAATGTTCTTTTTGTGAATTGGTGCCCAAAACTGAACTGCATATTCCCAAGTGAGGCTGACTCTCAGCACTTTTTAGTAAAGTAGAGTTAAAGTTTTTATCATTGACTGTGCCCTTATTAAGAGAATTTCCCCTATTTTCTTTCCCTGGAACAGTAGTTGCAAGACAGGAAGCGCCATGAATTGGGGGGAATTAGAAGAGCCAGTTAAACGAACGTTACATGCAGGACTTTTAATGCTTGGGTCATGTTTTCCATGTTGGTGTGACAAAAACAAAGTAATTTCTTCCTGTATATGCAGTCACATGCAAATCATAGGGTTAAAAGCTTGTAGAATGTTTGAAGCTCAATTTCAGTGCCGGTTCAAATATATGCAGATTGGATGCGGTTTGAAACATTGCTTCCTATAGTGCCTGTTCACATATGTCTGGTGCACTAGCAGTGCAGATTCAGCGCAAATTCAGTGCCGTTTGAAAAAGAGTCATGTCCAATTTCTGAGCAGTGACTTCAGGTTCAGGTGCAGATTACAGGCTATTGACTTCTTTGGGAACCGTTTCTAAACCACACATGTGTGAACAGGATAAGATTTTGAGCTAATTCTGTCCTGAACCTGATGTAAACCTGAGCTGAACTGCTGAACAACTACTGTGTCAATTAGCTGTGAAACCTGAGCTTCAATCTTCCTTGCACATGTGTGAATCAGCTCTTAGACTCCTTGTTCTGTCTTGTAGCATCTCAAGCTGAATTTTTGCTTTTGGTTTTTAAACCTATACTTTCCGGATAGCTTTAGACTGGTCACAAAATACAGGAGTATCTTTGAATCTTTTCCGGTCTTAGCAGTTCTCAACAATGCAGAGACAGGTGCTGATGTGATGTCAGCTCCGCACACTGCCCCTATATATTGTAAATCAATGGTGACACCATAACTCAAAGTATGTATTCAATCTTTCAGGCTGAATGATTGAAGCATGAGGTTATCTAATGGAGAAAAGATACTGCAGGGTTCAGTTCCAGACTGAAGGTGCTAATTGCAGACTGGGCTGCTTAACACGGGATAGGGACATTTCATCCTGGAGTTGGACATTAACCACCTCCCGCCCGCCATATAGTTCAATGACGGGCGCAAGGTGGTTCTCTCGTTCTGAAAGGACGTCATATGACGTCCTCCTATTCCTACCGCGCATGCGCGGCTCAGGGAGCACACAGCGCGGCAATCAGCGGTGCGCTGTGTCCCTCGGACACAGCGGATTACTGATCTTGGAAAGAGCCGAAGATGTCGGCTCGGTCATGTGATCAGGTGTGTCCAATCACAGCTGATCACATGTAAACACGGAAATGCCAGTTATCGGCATTTCTCTCCTCTCGAGCTGTCATGCTGACAGCTCGAGAGGAGAGGAGAGCCGGTAATCGGCTTTCCGCGGAGGGGACATGTACACTGATCATCAGGGCACTGATGATCAGTGTGCCCTGATGATCAGTGTAGCCCCAGCAGTGCACCTGTCAAAGTCCATCAGTGCCACGTGCCAGTGCCTATCAGTGCCACATCAATGCTACATATCAGTGCATACCAGTGCACACCAATGCCACATATCAGTGCCCATCTGAGCTGCCTTTCATTGTCATCCATCAGTGCCAGTCAGTGCCACCTATCAATGCCAATCAGTGCTGCCAATCAGTGCCGCCTATCAGTGCCAGTCAGTGCCGCCTATCAGTGTGCATCAGTGCCACCTATCAGTGTCGCCTAACAGTGGCAGTCAGTGCCGCCTAACAGTGCCATATATCAGTGCCATGTATCAGTGCTGCCTTTCAGTGCCCATCAGTGATGCCTGTCAATGCCCATCAGTGCCACCTACCATTGCCTCCTCATCAGTGCCAATCATTGCCACCTGTCAGTGTCTCAGTGCAGCCTATCAGTGCCCATCACTGCAGCCTCATTAGCACACATCAATGAAGGAGAAAAATCACTTATTTACAACATTTTAGAACAAAAACTAAGAAAAATTTTTTTTTTCACAATTTTCAGTGGTTTTTGGTTTAAGAAAAAATAAAAAACCCCAAGGTGATTAAAAACCACCAAAAGAAAGCTCTGTCACAAAAAAAAAATGATAAAAATGTCATATGGGTACAGTGTTGCATGACCGCGCAATTGTTATTCAAAGTGTGACAGCGCTGAAAGCTGGAAATTGGCCTGGGCAGGAAGGGGGTATAAGTGCCCAGTAGGCAAGTGGTTAAATAGTTGCAGCTTATCTGACCACCATGTGACATTACCCAGGAGCATATACTATGAAAATGAATTGATTGTAGTTACTTATATCTACAGCCTATAGTAAAGTAACTCTTCAGACCCAGAACAAAGTCCAGTTTCACAGTGTCAGAACCTTTAATCTAACCTGGCAGCACTGCAAGCTCATTTTCAGACTCTAGTACTTCTTCCAAGCAAGTCACCAGGCCCTTCTAAGAGACCAGCCTTCTTCCTGGCCCTCTCTAGCAAGGGCCTCCTCTGGATCTTTTCACCTTGGCTTGGCTTCCTACACACAGGGCAGGACAGCCTCAGAACCACCTCAGCCTAGATAGGCCCCAAACAGGCTTCAGGGCATAGTCACAGAGCCCTCTGCAGCAGCACCTCCTCACACCTGAGACAACAGAGCAAGCACATGATCTGCCCAAAATATTTATGTCCTTTCCCAGCATTCACCAGTGGACATGATCCTTCTACTGGTCTGGCTGGAAGAAATCTAAATATTCATAACTCATTTGTGCAATCGCATACTATGACCTGTGGTATCAATGACACCTACTGGCAACAGTGAGAAATGCACAATCCAACTGGACTTAGGGAAAGCCTAAATACAAACTATTCGGTCAGTCTGAGCTGCCTATAGCCCAGCCAAAAATGAAATTTACATTAGTAGTCCCCAATTTAAGACCTGGGGCTGCAGTAAATCTGCATGGCCTGTGTCTGTAGTTTGAGAACAAACATTTCCTGAGAAGAAACTATATATACCAAAATCGCTGGGTTTCTTAAGTCTAGGATTCTGCAGATGAAAGCTGCATAATAAATAGATCTGAAAGAGACACAAGCAGGCAGAACAATGAAGGGAAGAGATGTTTTTCATCTCATTAGCACTCCCACATATGTGATACAACACAGAGGAAATAGCAAGCCATGGATTAGATGATGTGTGACCAGGAACATGAATTTGCTTATCTCTTTGGCAGATTTGGACAAGCTAGGTGAATAAATACATGGACATATGAGCTTATCATTACAAGGTAAGGCAAATAAACAGCACAGGGAATATACCTACAGTAATACCTAGTTAAAGCAACAAAAAGTATATAAAGCCTTTACAAATGGTAACCATCCAATTAGGGGTGTCTAAAACTTTGATCATGGTGACAATTATTGGTGTCCTTTAGGTCATGCTAATGGCAGGTTTATGGTTATGTGAAAAAGTGACATGTATTAACCAACTAATTTAACAGCATTTATCATATGACATTTTAAAACCACAAAGGACTGTGGAGTGAAAGACTAGAGAAAGATAAAAGGGAAATTTATATTAGTCAGAGAGAAGTTCCCCCGCCTTCATACATAAAAGGAAAGTTCTGTTATCCTAAAGATGTATTTGTGCTATAACACAGCTTGCTGATAAGGAGGAAGAAGACGTAGGGGTGATTTTATTGCTTGATTTTTATTGATTGAGGAAAAACTGCAGAGAATGGATGAAGAGAACCCAGCGGCTGCATATGAGTACACAGAGAGACATGACACGGCAGGACGCAGGAACCTAATGCTGATCACATCATCTGTGTTGCAGTGGATGTTGATGCTTGTCCTCATAGTATTCTTGGTGATGCTTTACCACCAATCACATCAAGGTATCGAGGTAAGCCCTGAATTCACATGTGGTTGTATTGAGCTGCAAATAAGCCTGCTAACTTATACATTACACAACAAAAAAAATCTAAAGTCACCTTTAGAAAATCTGTTTTTATTTTGATTATTTTTTGAGAGTGCATGACGTTTGTAACATTTGTGGATATTTTCCTTGTAGAGGGTGTAATGTAAAGACAATTATTTATATTTTTTTTATATTTTATTTTCCATGAAATGCATGCAGTTATGTGCGTTCATGTTTATTCTTAATGATAAGATTTTAATGTATTTGCAGTTTGTAGGGTTGTGCACTTACAAGACACCTTGGAAAATGAATATGTTCATCTGAAATTCCGTGTGATTAAATAGTAATAAAATGTGGAGCTACCCTCTTGACCTTAGCTATACCTAATTACTGTGTGCCACAAAATTATTTTTACCTACCTGTCTATAGGTAGGGATTAATGGACCTTCCAATCAGGTCCTTCTGAAAAATTGACAGGTGGACCTGATTGGATGGTTATGTGAAATACAATATAACATTCCCAAGTAAACTATTTGTTAAAGTTGTTACCCAAGCACTTGCAGGTTACATCGTTCAATGCTGCTGAGTCCCTCTCTCTCAGTGCTGTTTTCCTAAACTTCTGGTATTGACATGAAAGAGTTAACAGTGTACAGTGCAATCTAGAGACAATCTGCTTGGAAAAGGAAGCAGGTAGGAGGAGCGAGGAGCAGGTGATTATCTTACAATCCTAGGCTACAGGGCTGAGTGTTTCTATTGATGCACACTGTGTAGGGAGACACAACTCATGTCCCTTAATGCAAGAATGGATCCATAGGATGCCGCAAGAGAAAGGAGCCACTCTGAAACAGGAAACCTTTACAGCGGTCAAAGCATTTGCCTTAACAGGAACATAGGCAAGGATTTAAAAATGAAGATGCTGAATACTCAGTAATTTATTCAGCAGCTGAAAGTGCTTAGAAACTGAGGGTTTAATATCACTTTAAGTTAAAATGCCTTCATGCGGTGCATTGGGGTGGATACTAAGTAATGAAAGGCTAGTCTTCTTGTGTAGAACCAGTGCTGGTAACCCCTTAAACACATGCCTGAGTGCTTGCAATGCTCTTTGCAGTGGCACCTTTTGCCATTGGCTGTAATTGACATCTCACTAGGCTGACAATTACAAAAGCATGGCCCACCTCCCTGATGCCACTTAAAGCCCTCCAGTTACTATCCACCGGCGTGCTGTACTGAAGGAGCCCACAACTACAGCGGTACCTTGCATATCTAAAGCTATAGGATTTGAGACTGATCTGAGGTCTGATATGAATCCACTGGGGGTGATCTGAGGTCTAAAGTGCAATCACTGGGGCAAATCTAAGGTCTGAAGTACATGCACTGGGGCTGATCTGAGATCTAATGTGCATGCATTAAGGCTGATCTGAGGTTTGAAGTAAATGCACTGGCGCTGACCTGAGATCTGAAGAATATGCACTGAGCATGTGTATACATTACGTCTTATCTAAGGTCTGAAGTACAAGCACTGGGGCTGATCAGAGGTCTTACATGCATGCTGAACATGTTGTGTTTGTACCCCAGGTAATCATTTTTGCACTCATATTTGTACTGCTAACAGCAACTCAAAATAATTAGTTATTATGTAATATTTAATGAATTTAACCTGTCATTGGCAGAAAAACCATGATATATGTTTAAACAAGTTAAGACTACAACTTGGCCATCCATGCAGTATTTCATGGCACAAGTTCAGCACCGCTTCTGCATTAGGGTCATAGTGCAGCAAATCCCAGTAGCAGGACTCCAATGATAGTATTCACCTGATTCTGATGTCACTCCCATGCTGTCATGATCCAGCCGGAGGTATCTCTAGCAACCCACAGAACAGGATTCCCCAGGGCGCAGGGTCTAAGCCCCAATCTGCTTATTTACCAGGGCCCCTGATGGTGGGGATGGACCTGGAGCAGACTGAGACCAGGTCACAACCCCTGAGTGCACCCGACTGTGGTAGAGGGAACCGCCGCAGGTATGTATCAGAAGAGAGCCTGATGTGAAGAGGCTGGCAGACCTGGACAGTGGTGACCGGATCCGTGCAGGATGGATGGATGACAGAGTACGTGTAGCGTAGTCAGGCAGGCCGGGTCGGTAACAGCAGAGGCAGAACGGTACAGAGCAGCGGACAGAGAGTAGTTGGGTCACAAGCCAGGTTTCAGCAATAGGAGGTCAGGTAATCAGGAGTAAGCAAAAGAATAGTCAGACGAGCCAGGGATCAGAGCAGGAGACGGTCAGCAGAGGTCAGGATCAAGCAGGGTCGGCAACAAGGTATCTCATGCAGGAACAGCCGAGCAGGGAACAGGAAATGAAGACCATATGGCAATGTGAGCATTGCAGGAGCTGGTTTAAATAGCCCACCCGGTGCTGACAGGCGCGCCTAGGTCCTAGTGCCTGCCCGGCCGTCATTGGTGACAGGCGCCCCTGGGTCCTAGTGCCCACCTGCCTGTATGTATTGTCGGGATCCTACGCCTGTGCAGATTCGTACGCAGTGGTGATCTCTGGGATTCCTGACATTGCCCCTCCCCCTACGGGCAGCCTCCGGTTGCCGAACTGATTTCTCCTCTGTGGGTGGTTATGGAAAAACTCCCAAACCAACCTAGGGGCGTGGACACTTTGGGCTGGCTCCCACAAATTCTCCTCAGGATCATAACCCTTCCACTTAATGAGAAACTGCGTTTGGCCCCCTCTTTCTACAATCCAAAATTGCCTCAGCTTCAAACTCCTCTTCCTCGTCGATGGTCACGGCCTCTGGGGGTCTGGACCTCCGATCT